TCTGGGATCCTGGACTGCCGCTCCCACAAGGAGGTAATGAGGCACACCTCCCCCTCCCTACTGGGGTAGTGTTGGTGGAGGTCTACTGGAGAAGCAGGACTTCTGCCACTGCCTGGTGATAATGATGCCACCCACTTACTGTGTGTCATTGAAGTTCATGAGGGGAGCAGAACAAGGCCCTCCCACCTCCTGTGGCCAAAGAAATATCAGTGGAAGGCAGGTGGGAGTCAGAACTCAACAAGCATAGCCAACAGCAACAAGGTGTGTCCCTCCTCAGGTTCCAACAAAGAACAAGTAAGGAATCTGGGCTTCAACCTTCACCAGCTGCAATACCACCCCTTTCCTTGCTTGAGTGGTATCAAGTGGAAACCAGCTAAAATAGAAGGTTTAATTAGAGTCTCATAAAATGTACCCCAAATGTCCAGGTTACAATAAGAAATCATTTACCATATCAAAAACCAGGAGGTCTCATACTGAATCAAGACTGTCAACACACAGATGTCAAAATCTTGCCAACACACAGATGTCAAAAATGTTGGAATTATCTAACAAAGATTTTGAAGCAATCATCATAAAAATGCTTCAACAAGCAATTACAAGCATGCTTGAAACAAGAGGGAAAAAAAGTAGAAGTTCTCAGCAAGGAAATATAAAGTTTTAGTAAATAAATAAAAGATATAAAGAAGAACCAAATGGAAATTTTAGAACTGGAAAATACAATAACCAAAATTTTTAAAAACAAAAAACAAAAACAGTGGGTGAGCTTAGCATCAGAATGGATGAGACAAAGTAAAGAATTCATGAACTTGAAGACAGAACAACAGACCAAATAATAATAATAATAATAATAATAATAATAATAATAATAGAGATCCAGGGACGTGCAAGACTATAAGAGATCTAATAATCATATCATGGAAGCCCCAGAGAAAAAGAAGAAATAGGTCAAGTTTGTAAAAGTACTTGAAGAAATAATGGCTGAAAACTTCCCAAATTTAGCAAAGGACATAAATCTACAGATTCAAGACACCAGAAACTCCAAATGGGAAACCTAACTGTAACACATAAAGCTATAAAATGTTTGGGGAAAAAAATAAAAACCTAGAATGATATCTTTAGAATCAAGGGCTAGGCAAAGAGTTCTCAGACTTGACACCAAAAGTATAATCCATAAAACAAAAAATCAATATATTGGACATCATCAAATTGTAAAATTTTTTTGCATTGAATGACTGCAAAAAGGATAAGACAAGCTATATGGTGGGAGAAAATATTTGCAAACCTCATAGCCAACAAGAGACTGAGAGCAATTATATATTTTTCAGTCTCAAAATTAACAGTAATAAATGCAAACAATCCAATTAGAAAGTGGGAAAACCATGTGAAGGACATTTCACTAAAAAAGATATACAGAAGACAAATGAGCACATGAAAAGATGTTCCACGAGGTTCACCATTAGGGTAATACAAATTAAAACCACAATAAGGTACTCTCATGTATCTATCAGGTTAGTGAAAATAAAACACAGTGACAAACCAATACTGGCAAGAATGTGGAGAAACTAGATTACTCGTGCATTGCCTGTGATGTAGACACTCTGGAAAACAATTTATAAGGTCTTTAAAAGCTAAAAGTACAGCTACCATATGGCCCAGCAGTTGTATTCCTAGGAATTTATCCTAAAGAAATGAAAACTTATGTTCACACACACACACATTAAAAAAAAAAAAACCCTGTGCACAAATGTTTATAAGAGCTTTATTTGTGAAAGCCAAAAACTGGAAACAGCCCAGATATTCCTCAACAGAAAAATGGTTAAAAAAAAAAAAAACTTTGGTATATAATACTACCATGGAGTCCTATTCAGCAATAAAAAGAAATACAGGGACACCTGGGTGGCTCAGTCATTAAGCGTCTGCCTCTGGCTCAGGTCATGATCCCAGGATTCTGGGATCAAGCCCCGCATCAGGCTCCCTGCTCAGCAAGAAGCCTGCTTCTCCCTCTTCCACTCCCCCTGCTTGTATTCCCTCTCTCGCTATCTCTGCCTCTGTCAAATAAATAAATAAAATCTTTAAAAATAAGTAAAAAATAAAAAGAAATATAAGAGACAACTTGGATGAATCTCTAGAGAATTACGCTAGGTGGAAAAAAGCCAATCCCAAATGTTTACATATTTTATGATTCCATTTAAATGATATTCTTGAAATTACAAAATTCTGGAAATGGGTAATGGATTGGCGACTGCCAGAGGTTAAGGATGGGTTGTTGTTCTTAATGGGTAATAGCAGGGATCTCTATGGTGGGGAAAATACTCTTGAGTCCTGATGGTCAATGTCAGCTTCCTGACTGAGATACTGTTCCATAGTATGTAAGATGTTACCGTTTTGGGAAACTGGGAAAAGGAGTCTTTCTGTGTTATTCTCTACAACTGCATGTGGATCTACTACTACCTTCAAATAAAAATTTAAATCAAAAAATAAAAAATATTGGGACACCTGGGTGGCTCAGTCAGTTAAGTGTCTGCCTTTGGCTCAGGTCATGATCCCAGGGTCCTGTGATGGAGTCCCGCATCGGGCTCCTTGCTCAGTGGCGAGCCTGCTTCTCTCTCTGCCTCTGCCTGCCACTCTGCCTGCTTGTGCTCTCTCTCTCTGACAAATAAATAAATAAAATCTTTTAAAAAAACGTTAAACTGACGGAAAAAAATTATAAAGCATTAATTCTAAAAATGCCTCTTGACACCACTTCCCTGTTCTATACTACAGCCCATCTCTAAAGCCAGAAAAAGAGGGCTGGTAGCAGAGGGAAGAAGGCAGCCAGCAGACCAAAGCCAGGAAGGATCTAGGAGAAGGAAACAGACTTCAGCCTGGAGCTTAGGATTCAGACTGATCCCAGCCTAGACAGAAGATGGAAGTCCAATTAACCTGTGTTCTCCTTCACAGAAAAACTCTTTCCAAAAAAAAAAAAAAGTTTTCTTTTCTCTTTCCTGACTCCTCTTTCTCTCCTTCCATGCTCTCTTAAATGCATTCCAATCAAACTTTGCTCACATGGTTTTACCAAAAGAGCTCTGACCAAAATCATTCACTCCACCCTTCAAGTTTCTTCTAGCTGGCCAAAGAATTAAATTAACATGAGACTGATCAACAGGAAAAAAGAACAGAGTTTAATTATGTGTACACAGAGACCCAATCATGAAATTAAGACCTAAAGAAATGACCAAGGCAGGCAGCTTTTATAATTTTTAGATAAAGAAACATAAATTTAGGGAGGAATTGACAGGACAAAGAATACTTATGTTTGGGACTTCAATTAGCAAGAAATTTTAAGCAGAATTTGGGCTGGGGTAATAAATTATGTAAAGTAACAAGATTTGTTTATATAGGCTTCTTCAGCCCTAAATTCCCTGTCTCTGACAATAAGGCTGTCCCTCCACCTGCTGGTGAAGGGAGGGTACCTTTTACGTGGGAGTTTATTTTCTGCTTTCTAGAAACAAAGCAGGGGTCAGAGTGTTCTTTCTGCATTTGCCATTTCTTAAATGATTTTATTTTTTATTTGTTTTCTTTGAGAGAGAAATGAGAGTGAGCACACACAATTGGGGGGTGGGGCAGATGGATTGTGAGAGAGAGAATCCTCAAGCGTTAAATCCTCCCTGTTGAGCTTGGAGCCCAACCTCAGGCTCGATCCCACAACCCTGAGATCACCACCTGAGTCAAAATCAAGAATTTGATGCTCAACCGACTGAGCCACCCAGATGCCCCTCTTAAGTAACTTTAATGCAAAATAACCAATATGCCAAAGTGGTACATTTCTTTTTAAAAAAAAAAAAAGATTTTATTTATTTGACAGAAAGATCACAAGTAGGCAGAGAGGCAGGCAGAGAGAGGGGGGGAAGCAAGCTCCCCGCTGAGCAGAGAGCCAGATGCGGGGCTCGAACCCAGGACCCTAAGATCATGACCTGAGCCGAAGGCAGAGGCTTAACCCACTGAGCCACCCAGGTGCCCCCAAAGTGGTACATTTTAGGGTGGTCTGCCCTCGGCACCCATGGGAAAGATTGATGATAAATCTAAGAAACTGATATAATATGATGCAAACAGAGCTGATCATCATCAGGTATATAGTAGTAAGCCAGAGCAGTTAAAATATTTCTGTACATCTGCCCTAAAGCTTAGGTACCTCCTAGCTGCTCTGATTCTTCCCAGGAACACCACCTGCCCCCATCTCCCTATGATCCTAAAGGATTGATACTAGCCCAGCAGGGGTCTCTAGGGTCTATACTCTATTCCACACCATATTTCCATACCTATAGCATGGGTTGATAAATATTTTGAATGTCCTCCCTGCTAGGAAGATGGTAAGTGCTATAGAAATGAAAAACAGAGCAAGGCAGTGTGATAAAAACTGTGATTTTTAACTGAATGATCAGAATTAAGTCTCATCAAGAAGGTGGCATTTGAGCAGAGATCTGAAGGAAGGAAGGGAATGAGCCTTGCAATTATCTGGAAGGAAACAGTCTATTTAGAGGAACAGCGAAGGGGGCAGAGGAGCAGAAGGTGAGAGCAGTGTAATTGTGGGGTGCCACATCCTGGTAGACTTCGTAAGGGCTTTTAAACTGATGCTAGTGAGATGGGAGCCCTTGGAGAGTGTTCGGCAGAGGCAAGATGTGATCACAGATCTCTAGATACGGATGTAGGTGTGGATGACTTTAATGAGATATAATTTATATACCATATAATTCACTCAGTAAAGTGCACTTTCCTGCTTTATAGTATATTCACAGAGTTGTGTAGCCATCACCAAGGTCAATTTTAGAACATCTTCATCATCTCAAAAGGCAAGCCCTTCCTTTCAGATGTCACCTCCTAATCCTTTCACCAGCCCTCACCCCAAACCATAGTAATCACCAATCTACTTTCTAGCTCTATAATATTTGCTTCTTCTGGACATTTGGTACAAATGGGATTGTATGATATGTGCTCTTATATCACTGGCTTCTTTCACTTACCCTGCTGTTTTCAGGATTTACCCATGTTGCCGCACATTTCAGTATTTCGTTCCTTTGTATGGCCAAATATCCCATTGTCTGTATATACCACATTTTGTTTATCCATTCATCTGATAATAGAATCCAAGGTTGTTTCCACTTTTTGGCTATTAGGAATAATGGTGCTCTGAACATTCATATACAAGTTTTTATTCAGGCTTATGTTTTCATTTCTGTTTGGTATATACTTAGGAGTGGAACTGCTAAGTCAGCTGGTAGCTACATTTAACTTTTCATGAAACAGCCAGACTGTTTTTCTACAGTGACTGCATTTTACACACCAGTCCTGAGGGTTCTTTCTTCACATTGTTGCTAACACTTAATCTTATTTTTATACAAGTCATCATAGTGGGTGTGAACTGTTACTGCACTGTGGTTTTGATTTGCATTTTCCTGATGACTGATGATGTTAAGCATCGGTTCATGGGCTTAGTGGCTATTATTTATCTTCTCTGGAGAAATGTCTATTCCAATCCCTCATGTATTTTTTTTAATTGGGTCATTTGTCTTTTTATTGAGTCACAAGAATTCTTTATATATCCTAGATTTGCAAATATTTTCTCCCATTCTGTGGCTGCCTTTTTGCTTTGTTGATGGTGTCCTTCGAAGCACAAAAATTTTTAATTTTGATGAAGTGCAGTTTATCTATTTTTTTCTTTTATTGCTTATACCTCTGGTGTTGTAGCAAAGAATACGTTGCCAAATCCAAGATCATGAAGATTTACAGCTATGTTTCTTTTTTCTTTTTTTAAAATTTAATTTCTTTTCAGTGTAACAGAATTCATTGTTTATGCACCACACCCAGTGCTCCATGCAATACATGACCTCCATAATACCCACCACCAGGATCCCCAAACCTCCCACCCCCTACCCCTTCAAAACCCTCAGATTGTTTTTCAGACTGTTTTTTGCCTTTTTTTTTTTTAACTCGAGATTTCCTTGTAGAGGAACAACTTGGAGTCCTTTTATTTTTTTTAAGATTTTATTTATTCCTTTGAGACAGAGAGAGTGTGAGAGTCCTCCAACTTTTTCTTCTTTTTTCAAGATTGTTTTGGCTATTCTAGGGCTTTTGAATTCCCATATGAATTTTAGGATCAGTTGCCAATTTCTACAAAGAAACCAGTTGGGATTTTGATAGGCACTGCATTAAATCTATAGATGAATTTGGAAAGTATTGCAATCTTAATTAATATTCTGAATTATGAGCATGGGATGTTTTCCATTTATGTAGATCTTCATTAATTTCTTTCAACTATGTTTTGTAGTTTTCAGAATATAAGTTTTGCATTTCCTTTGTTAAGTTTATTCCTAAGTGTTTTATTCTTGTTGATGCTTTTATAAATGAAATTGTTTTCTTAATTTCATTTTTGGATTGCTTATTACAAATGTATAGAAATAAAATTAATCTTATCATTGGTATCTTATCACTTCAGGGAATTCATTAATTAGTTCTAATAGTTTTTTAGTGTATATCTTTGGATTTTCTGAATATAAGATCATGCCATCTGCAAATAGAGATAGTTTCATTTCCTTTCCAACCGGAATGCTCTGACTCATATTTTAACAAATCCCTCTGGCTTCCACGTTGAGAATACACCAAATCAGGGTGAGAGAAAAGCAGAAGTCCAGGTGGAAAAGATTGTGTGTGGGAGTAGGTGGGAGCAGGCAGGAGCTAGTGGGAGTAGAGAAAGGGTCACAAACTTATTCAGGACATTTCTCTTTTGTTCTTCTCTCCTTTATTTCTTCTTTGTCTTAACGAGCTTCTTGGTGATTTTTTTTTCCCCTTGACCAACAACAAAGCCAGCACTAACTTTCTTAAAATCTTCCTGTGGTAAAATTCTTAGTAAGCAGTTCTGCACAAAGGAAACAGATACCAGACAGGAGACAAGAGAAACCCAAACCCTACATGTTCCATTTCTGCAAGAACTGAGCCTACAAGACTGGTTGGACTGAAGACCTATTTTTATGAAAGAAGGAAGAGAGAAGTATCCATCACCAGGTCTCAGAAATGCTGCAACCCTCAGCAATCAGCTAAAGATAGCCCAGGCAAGGAACTCTGTGCCCAGACTTGGGGGCCCTCAATGCTCTGGTAAGAGAGGATATTTCAGGCTCCTCCAGTGAGCAGCCATTCCAAACAATCAGATCCTTCACCTTGGGGAAACCAGCTTACCCAATCTTCCTTAGGAACTTCTCCCTGAAGATAGCAATGCAGGAAAATTCTCCATAAGTCCCCCTCACCCAGATCCTTCAAATCAGATGTGCTTGATCTGTCCCTCCTGGTAGTCAGGATCCTAGAGTTCTAATCAGGGATGGGGCTGAGGGTGAGGCCGGGGAGTCACCTGGGTCACTGTCATGACTCTGAGAGTGAGGGCCTCCTTAAATTGTACATTTGCTTGCCTCACGGTACTGCCAACGCTGGTTCTCATACCAGGTCTGCACTGACAGGCCATGTGGACCAGGGCAAATCCTTCATCCTCTCTGGGCCTCAGTTTGCTCATCTGAGAAGTTGCAGTGCTGGACTTAAGTCAGTGTTTCTCAATAATGACCTATGAACTCAAACTAATCCTTAATTTTCAGATTCACAAAACCTCTACCAAATGTCCTCACTGATTAAAATCTATAAATTGATTTTTAGGAAGATTTTATTGGAGTGTCTGGGTGGCTCAGTTGGTTGAAGCATCTGCCTTTGGTTCTGGTCATGATCTCAGTCAGGGTCCTGGGATCAAGCCTGTGTCATGCTCCCCACTCAATGGGAAGCCTGCTTCTTCCTCTCCATCTGCCTGCTGCTCCTCCTGTTATTCTCTCTCTCTCTCTCTCTCTCTCTCTCTGTGTGTGTGTCAAATAAAAAAATAAAATCTTAAGAGATTTTATTTATTTGTTTGATGGTGGGAAGGGGCAGAGGAAGAAAGGAGAGAGACTCTTAAGCTGACTCCATGATGAGTATGGAGCCCCATGTGGGGCTTGATCCCAGGACCCTGAGATCATGACCTGAGTCAAAACCAAGGGTCAGACTCTTAACCAAAATGTGCCACCTAGGTGTCCCTATAAATTGATTTTTAAAAAACCTTCCTTATGAGAACTTAATGTATGACTATAGAATTAGTAGATAGATTCCGTGTCCTGTATAGGACTCATCCTTCTTAAAGAAATTGCTTAATCATATCTAGAGCCCTGAGGTGGATCTCCCCAGGAGCTATTCTAACTTTGTTCCCCACCCTGACCCAACGTGACTGGACCAGAGATAGATCCTAGACTTAAGATGAACCAATCTATAGCCTGGACTGGGTCAAGCAGAGTATCCTTTCAAATGGACATTGTATAGACCCCATAGTCAATAACAGTGTGCAGTCCAGTGGCCAAATCAGACAGATTGAGGTTGATAGCCATGGGGCACATGTGCAAGCAGAAGCAGGTGCTTATAAAAAGGAGGAGCCAGAGAGAAGCAGTGATGAATAAGTCCTGTGGCCCATGAAAGATGACAAACTACTTGGCTCTTGAAAGATGTAGAGTACCCTCAGTTCCTGACTTTCCTGTGCTAGTGTCAACATGAGTCATGAACTGCCCTCACATTCTTGAGTTGAGCCCTTATACAAACCACAGCCAAAAGAATTGTGATTAAAGCAGAAGAAAGGACAAACTCTTCAACAATACATTTGATTGCTATACTTAAAAGAGATTGAGAGAGATTCCTGCCTCATACTGTAAAGAAAAAAAAATTCTAGAAGGATTAAAAAGAATCATAGAGGAGAACATAGGCAGTAACCTCTATGATATCAGCCACAGCAACTTCTTTCAAGATATGTCTCCAAAGGCAAAGGAAAGAAAAGCAAAAATGAATTTTGTGGATTTCATCAAGATCAAAAGCTTCTGCACAGCAAAGGAAACAGTCAACAAAACAAAGAGGCTTCCCCCAGAATGGGAGAAGATATTTGCAAATGACAGTACAGACAGACAAAAGGCTGATATCCAGGATCTATAAAGAACTTCTCAAACTCAACACACACAAAACAAATAATCATGTCAAAAAATGGGCAGAAGACATGAACAGACACTTCTCCAATGAAGACATACAAATGGCTAACAGACACATGTCTCCAATGAAGACATACAAATGGCTAACAGACACATCATCACTAGCCATCAGGGAGATTCAAATCAAAACCACGTTGAGATACCACCTTACACCAGTTAGAATGGCCAATATTAAGAAGACAAGAAACAACGTGAGTTGGAGAGGATGTGGAGAAAGGGAAACCCTCTTACACTGTTGGTGGGAATGCAAGTTGGTGCAGCCACTTTGGAGAACAGTGTGGAGATTCCTCAAGAAATTAAAAATAGAGCTTCCCTATGACCCTGCAATTGCACTACTGGGTATTTACCCCAAAGATACAGATGTAGTGAAAGGAAGGGTCATCTGTACCCCAATGTTCATAGCAACAATGGCCATGTTTACCAAACTGTGGAAAGATGCCCTTCAACAGATGCATGGATAAGGAGGATGTGGTCCGTATACACTATGGAGTATTATGCCTCCATCAGAAAGGATGACCCAACTTTTGTATCAACATGGATGGGACTGGAAGAGATTATGCTGAGTAAAATAAGTCAAGCAGAGAGAGTCAATTATCATATGGTTTCACTTATTTGTGGAGAATAGGAAATAATGCAGAGGACATGGGGAGATGGAGAGGAGAAGGGAGTTGAGGGAAATTGAAAGGGGAGGTGAACCATGAGAGACTATGGACTCTGAAAAACAACTTGAGGGTTTTGAAGGGGTGAGGGGTGGGAAGTTGGGTGAGCCTGGTGGTGGGTACTATGGAGGGCATGTATTGCATATAGCACTGGGTGTGGTGCATAAACAATGAATTCTGGTACACTGAAAAGAAATTTAAAAAATAATAAATTATTTTAAAAAGAGTTCAAAAAAAGTAATGTTTAAAAAGTGAATTTTAAAAATTCATGTTTCCATACAAGACCCATCTTTATGTTGC